AATTAAGGGTCAAGTTATGTCCCTTAAGAATAAGTGATGAGGAAAAGAGAAACCCTGAGGTATGGTATACACCAGASTCGGCAGGAAAGTTGAATATAGAGCCTTTTTCGGTGACGATAAAAGACCCCAAGAATCCTGTTAAAGTAAAACAATACCCTTTGTTTGATGAAGGGAAAAGGGGTTTGAAACCAGAGATAGAACGATTACTACAACAGGGCCTCTTAGAACCTTCTATGTCCCCTTATAATACCCCTRTCCTCCCTGTAAAGAAACCARAYGGAAAATATAGATTGGTACATGACCTGCGAGAAAKAAACAAACGCACGGCCACTAGATTTCCTGTAGTGGCGAATCCCCATACAATTCTCAGCCAAATAGGACCCGAGGACAGTTGGTATATATACCAAGCACAGGTGACGTGCTGCTTGCTCACCTGGAGAGCAGGGCCTGCAGCCAGGGGAGAAGCCGCTGCTGCCGCGTCCTCAGGCAGCGGGTGCTCCAGAGCGGGGCTGTCACTCTCAGGGGGCTCCTTCTCCTGGGATGTCTCTCTGTCTGCGAAGAGGCTTTGGAGGCTGGGTCTGACCCAGGTCATGGAGGTTTCCTCCACCTCCTCGCCTTGAAGAACCTCTTCACCATCCTCTTCATCACCATCAGTGTGTCCCGTGTGCTCCTCGTGCCCTGCTTCCAGGGCTCTCTTCCCTCTTCTCCCCTGTAGCTCCTTCCTGGGGGCATGGGCATAGAGGCGCTCCAGCACCTCCCACTTGCCCTTGAGGAGCTCCACTTGGGTGATGTCGGGGTTCCACAAGTCATAGAAGGAGTTTCTGGCCAGGAGCTGGAGGAGAGAGGGAGGTTTGTGAAGGGGCTTCATTTCCCCCAGGAATGGCCTCCTGGGCCCGCCGGCGCAGGGACACCCGGGTTGTCCTAGTGCAGGGCAGCAGCTGGCGCCAGCACCACGAGGGTGACGGCTGCCCCAACCACCCCTTGGGCTCACCTGCTTGGGCCGCACGTTGAGCGACCCCAAGGCTGTGAGGAAGAAACGCTGCCCCTCGCCCTCCTCCTCCTCATCCTCGCTCTGCTGCGGGCTCTGCTGCCACCCCGGGAAGGCGCCTTCTCGCAGCTGGGCCAGGCTGTGCCCGGTGCGCGCCAGGCAGCTGTGCTTGAGCTCCTGCAGCGGCTCCGTGCGGATGCTGAGCACGCCCAGGTAGCGCGCGCTGTTGTCCGGGTGCACGCGCAGCGGCTCTCCTCCCAGCTGGCACACGATGCGCGCAGGCTGCGGCTTCGCGCCGGGCCCTGCCCGTGCTGGCCACGGGCAGGCAACCTGCTGCGCCTCTGCCCTCAGTTCCACGGCAATCTCCCCAAAGAGGCTCTCCACAAAGGCAGCGGGCTCCAGCAGGGACGAGCATGGGGCCTGCGCGGAGGCCGTTTGTGCGGGTGCGCTGGCAGCAGTCGGGTCTTCTGCAGAGCCCCGCGGTGCCTCTGCGAGGGGCAGCCCGGGCAGTTCAGCCTCCCGGGAAGGCTCTTTGGCTGCCGCTGGGCACTGCTGGGCATCCTGCGGGGCACAAGAGGCTGCTGCTTCCCGGGGCGCCGTGGCAGGCGGCACTGGCCCTTGGGGAAGCTGCAGCTCTGCCCCGGGCACCCTGAGGACGCGCTTAGCTCCGCGTCCTGGCTCAGCACCGGTGCCTCCAGGTGCTGGACCTCGAGCTGCTGGCCACCTGTGGGGAGAAGGAGGCCCGTGATGGAGGCGGCTGCGTGGGGACAAGCGGCKCCTGCAGCRCAGGGAAACTCAGCCCTGTGTCCAAGGGAAGCTCGTGGCTGCACACAGCCCRGCTGAGCTCGGCCCAGAGCTGCTCGCTGCCCCTCAGCACRGAGCTCACAGGGTTTGGGGGGCCCTGGGAGGACCCACATTGGTGTCTTTTGTCCCAGAGAAAATGCCCAGGGCCAGGAACAGATGAGGCCTCCCCARAAGAGCTCACAATTCTCTCCTCATTCCAGCTCCCCTTCCAAACCATCYCCCTGCTCTCCGTGTTGGTGCCATCCCTGGTGCCCACCTCCCCCTCCAGCCCCACCACTCACCTCCCTCACGCACTCTTGTGCGCCRTAGATCCYGTCCATGGACGAGGAGCTCGCGTTCACCTGCTGCTCCTTCTCCATCACTAGGAACCTCTCTGAGGGCCTCTCGCACGGGCACCAAGGGGATCTGCTCCCTGCTGCTCGCGCCGCTCTGCTCAGAGTGAGGACCCAGCAGGGACACGGTCACCATGGGCACTGCCCCATCACAGTGACCTGCGGGCGCGATGCCACCTCCATCGCAAAGCCCTGCTGCTGGTGGCCATGGGGATACCAGGCCTCTCGTCCTCGCCTCCTCTCCCCACTCCTCAGCAGCTCCCTGGGGCGCAGCATGAGGTGTCCTCTGCCCAGCTCTGCGCTCCCCGGGCCTCGCAGACGCTGCCCTGCGTCAGGGCTCCAGAGCAGACACCCACCACAAGGCCACCCTGCTGCTCTGACCCCCATCCTCAGCCCTGCGCCCTCGACTGCCTCCTGCTTCACCCCCACGCAGAGCTCCCTGCATCCCGCTGCGGCTTTGGCACCTCCTGCAGCTGCTGGAGCCCCGGGCAGCCGGGGAAGCCGGGGCTGCCCTGCCCTGCCATCCTCCCCCTGCTCCTTCCCAGCCACAAATCCCCTCCCCACAGGGCTGCAAGGACCTTCCTGGGCCAAGCGCAGCACAGGGGTGACGCAGCACGCGCTGCTGCAGCGGGTTTGACACCCTTCAGCTCCAGGTGCCACCAAGCCCCAAACGGCCACCAGGACAAGACACAACCTCTGGGAGTCTTGCGCTGGGCTTCACGATATGGGCTTGGTTCTGCCCACACTCATTTGCCACCCTGAGCCCCTGCCCTCTGGGTGCAGCCTTGAGTTGTGAGAGTGGATAAGGGAGTTACTACCATTTATGAATTGCATTTAATATGTAACTTCTATTGAAGAAAAACAGTTTTTTCCCTGCCCTTCCCACCTGTTTCCTGTTGCCTTTCCCATAACAGGAGAGCAGAAAATCAGCCTTGAGTTGCAAGAGTGGAGAAGGGAGAGAATACCACATATTAATTGCAGTTAATATGTAACCTATTGACTCTTATTTGAAAAAGCAGAGACACAGGAATGAGCAGCAGAGGGAAGCAAAAAAGCATTGTATAGGGAATTTCTTGCCGCCTGGGTCAAGTAGAAGGAAGAATTCCTTTCCTGCCAGGACGTCGACACTGTGAAACACCTAAAAAGTGAAGCAGTTCTGATCTCTTGGGGGAAAACATGAGAGAGATGGGATGTTGTATTTTAAATGCCAATCAGTTCCAATCAAATAAATCCTACTTCAGCACATGCTGGATAAATTGAAGGAAGCAAAGAGCAAAAAGTGCAGCGTCTAGGTCTCCTGTGTGCCCTAGGGTGCAGGACTGGGCCCCATCCTCAGCAAGAGAAATGGAGAAAAGTGACTGACCTCACAGGGACAACCTGACCTCCCTTTACGCGTGTGGGTTTAAAATTCCAACACATTAGAATAGTAGTGAAAAATACGAGATACTTTGTGTTTTAAAGGCAAATATGGCACCAAAACCTACAGAAGAGCTGGTGAGAAGCCCCTGCCCGGCACAGCACTTGGCAGCAGCCTCACGTCCCCCCAGCCCGTCTCCCAACAGGGCCAGGCAGACACGTCCCATTTGTCACCCTCGTCTGGCTGCTTCCCAGGCAGCAGCTCCTCCACCTTAGCACCACTGTGAGAACGCAATTGTTCACGTGGATAAAAGGGGCCCTTGGCTTGCAGAGGGCACTCCCCCATTTGGATGCCCAGCCCATGTGTGCAGCATCCTCCCGCGGAGAACCCCACACACCTCCCTGGGCTCCCCATGCCTCCTACAGCACAAGTCTCTATTAAATGTATCCTCTTTAGGCCTGTACGAACTCTGGCTCTCTTTCCATCAATATCCAAATATTCTTGTCCGCCTTGTGGTCACTGAAACAGACGTCCACGCTGTGTTCTCTCTGGCACTGTTTTAACAAACCTGTGGTCCATTTAATTCCTACTGCATAACTCGCTGCTGTTCTAAGAACTCTGCAGGCTGGAAGGGCAAAGGTGGCTGCACTCACCCAGATAGGCTTTTCCTCTTTAAAGGATAGAGAAGACATTTCTTTGGTCCTTCCATTTTTTAAGGCATACTTTATTTTATATCAAATCAGACTACAGTTCTCAAGTGAAGGTGACATAAATCACTCTCCAGGCTCCCTTCCCTGTCCCCACAGGCTCCCCACTGTGGCACAGTGGGCATCTGTCTCCAGTCATTTCAAACGTGAGACAGGCCCAGGCAGAGGCTGCTTTGACCATTCAGCACCATGAGAAAAACTGGGCACCCACAAGCAAGAGCCGAATCCAGCCCTCATTCCCTAACACAGCACCCCAGGAGCTCATTGCCTTCAGCCCATGGAGAATCAACATGGAGAAGCAACAGGCTCCTTCAGCTTCAAAGTCCTTGGGCAGATTCTTGAGCAGCTTTGCAAGAAGAGCCCAAGTTGCAACTCATAGCAGACATTTTTACTAGAGGCAGAACACCCCTGACACAGTGATAGGCAGAATCACCCAGGCCTCTGGCTGAGAGAGACTGGAGCCATGCTGCTGGAGAACTGGGATGAATTCAAACACTTCTGCATAAAGCTACTATCATAGAGAGAATGCTCAAAGCACAAAACCAGGCTGAGACAAATTAGAAACCACTTATGAATGAAGAGGTAGCGGCAGCTTATTGCTGCTGAACAAGTACCCATTGGATCAGTTTCTTCAGTGCCTGCTTGAGGTCCTTGTTCCTCAGGCTGTAGATGAGAGGGTTCAGTCCTGGAAGCAGCACCGCGTACAAAACGGCCAGCATCAGATCCAGAGCTGGAGAGGAGATGGAGGGCGGCTTCAGGTAGGCAAATGTGCCAGTGCTGACAAACAGGGAGACCACGGCCAGGTGCGGGAGGCACATGGAAAAGGCTTTGTGGCGGCCCTGCTCACAGGGGATCCTCAGCACAGCTCGGAAGATCTGCACGTACGAGACCACAATGAAAATGAAACACCCAAAGATTAAACAGCCACTAACCACAAGAAGGCCAACTTCCCTGAGGTAGGAGTGTGAGCAGGAGAGCTTGAGGATCTGGGGGATCTCACAGAAGAAATGGTCCAGAACATTGCCTTGGCAGAGTGGTAGTGAAAATGTGTTCCCAGTGTGCAGAAGAGCAGAGAGGAAGCCACTGACCCAGGCAGCTGCTGCCATTTTCACACAAGCTCTGCTGCCCAGGAGGGTCCCATAGTGCAGGGGTCTGCAGATGGCCACATAGCGGTCATAGGCCATGACTGTGAGAAGGGAACACTCAGCTGACATGAAAAAGAGAAACAAAAATATCTGTGCAGTACATCCTGAGTAGGAAATGGCCCTGGTGTTGCAGAGGGAATTGACCATGGATTTTGGGACAGTGGTGGAGATGGAGCCCAGGTCAAGGAAGGAGAGGTTGAGGAGGAAAAAGTACATGGGGGTGTGGAGGCGCTGGTCACAGACTACAGCTGTGATGATGAGGCTGTTGCCCATGAGGGCAGCCAGGTAGATGGTCAGGAAGAGCGAGAAGTGCAAGAGCTGCAGCTCCCGTGTATCTGCAAATCTCCAGAGGAGGAACTCAGTGAAAGAGCTGCTGTTGGACATTTGCTGCCTCTCTGCAAGGTGAAGAGTCCCAGGAAGAAAACAGACAAGTTAGGATAGGCTTTTCAGAACAAAACTCAAACCTCTTCTCATGGCAAATCCCCACATTTCCTCTCTCCTTACTTGGAGGACTTTGAGGTACAGAAAACTTTGACTCTTTTATTACTAAAAGCAGGAACAGTAGCACAGCCTTTGCTGTACAGTCCTGTATAGCAAAACTCTTTGCATTAGTGTACTGCCCCAAAGAGGACATCTCCTTCAGGAGACTTGGAGCATTCCCCAGCCCTACACACCCAATGCCTAAAGCCCCACAGTCTGGCAATGGTCTTGGATACCCTGCTCTCATTCAAACATCTCCAGATGGGCACTCAGGAAAGCCTTCGTCTTATCTAGCCATGCCCTTTGCAGATGACATTTTGCTCTCAGACACACTGTCAAACATCCCCTCTCCTGGCAGGCAGGTTTAGGAGGTAGCTTGGGTCGTGGATCCCATTAGCCTTCAGGGCAGAGGCTCTACTGCATCGAAGGAACAGTCAGGGCATTGCCCAAATCTACCATCCCATAGTCTTTTCTCTTAGAAATTTCCTCTCTTTCCTGCATCATACATGTGCTGCCTGGCACCATCTCCATGTTTGCAGATGACAAGGAACAAGTAAGACCAACCCTGAAAAGCCCAATAAAGATCAGATGGTGCTGCTCCTAGGCAAAGGGGAACCTGAAAGAATTTGCGAATTTCCCTCACAGACTTTTTGATCTCTCACAGTCAGTGTTTAGGAGTCTCAGTTTCATGTCCAAACCCAGCAATTCTGTTTCCTTTCTGATGCTATCAAAAGCAGGAAGGCTTAAGCACAGGCTCAGGAAGAAAGCTTCTTTTCTGGTCTGATGCTCCTATAACTTGGGAATGCCCTGGATGCCCTGGAAGCTCCCCTTCAGAAATGTCCTGAGAGCAGCCCTGGCTCATGCAGCAGCCTCCCAAGAGAAGAATGAACCTGAGCTGCAGGGACTCGCTCTGCCCACCCAGAGCTTCTCCCCACAGCACTGCATGAAGCTGTCCAGGCAGGGTGAGTGCTGACCCTTGCAGGTGACAGAGTCACTGCCCTGGGCACACAGCACCCTGGGGGCAGGGACACTGCTCGGAATTACAGTCGGTGGAGAGCTGGAGGCACTCACTGGTCTCACATCCCTGCACCATCCCTGGCAGAAGGTAACCGTGATGCCCTGTCCCTGTGCTGCTACGGAAGATGACTGTTGATCCAAGGCACCAGCTCATCCAAACAGTAGAAGCTGGGAGAGCCACCCTGACAGACCCCCTCAGCTGCACAAAATACAGCAGCATTGCCCTTCACAAGGAACTTACTGCATAATGAGCTGGAAAGGTTCCTGCCTGCAGGGAGCTTTCAGAGTTCCTCCCATTCACTTGCACTTAGGAGCGACTCATCCCAGCCTGGTGCCTGTGGGCAGTGCCCTGAGTCTTGGTGCTCCTTTAAGAGGAGCTGCTCCTGGGCAGAGCTGTCTCTCTGCAGCGCTTGCCAGGTTGCCAGGGGCTCCCGCAGTCCCAGGAGCCAGGCCCAGCTCAGGAGCAGGGACCCAACTGGAGACGGGACAGTTTCTGTCCCCTGAGCAGCCTCCAGGTATTTTAGGGGCTCCAAGGCTATGAGAGGGGAAGCTGTTTGGGTGTTTACAGGATCCATGGACACAGCTGCAGGTATGAACCATGCTGTGCAGAGCCCCAGCATAGGACAGGCTCTGCTGGAGACAGACAAAGGCCCTGCCAAGGCTTAAAGCCACCAAAGGAGGTCTTCATCCTCTTGGCATGGCTGTTGTCTCTGCCACCAATAGAGACACCCTGAAAGGTGTCGTATCAGTGTCCTGCACCGCGCATTGCTCACCCCACCCCACACACTGTCCCCGGGAAGACCTGGAAAACACGTGCGGAAAAGGATCTCCCTTCCCACAAGCTCAGTGACCAAGCTTGGACATTTTGCCTGATAAAACACATCAAGGGTTTATGTGGCATCAGAGCCACCCACATGTTTCCTCTGCCTACCTGTTATCAGTGATGACAATAATCTGCTCTAAGCAGACTCTGGGGAATCTTTACTGCTAACAACTATCAGTGGGACCCATTAAACCTCTACAAAACTTTGTGCTTCTGTTCATTTTCCTTCCAGGAACTGAGGTTCATGAATTCAGCACCAAATACACCATGGGGCTCATTACAACAGGAAAACTTCTCACAAAACCTGTCTCTCACTGTAATTTTCTTCTAGTCTTGCATGGCAAATTGGAGGCATTTCAGGGGTGTAGCTGAATGGTGGAGACATCAATAAGATACAAGCATTTCTGGTTTATTGTTATTGTCATTTGGCTTTCAGAGTAAGTGGCAGCAGCATTCTCCAACTGGAATCAATCCAGAATGACTCCTAATGAAGTCTGGACATGTAGGAAAACTGGTGTCTCAGGCCTCAGGCACTCTATGGACACTCCTACTCCCTCCTCCCCAACCTGCCATTCCTTTCATCAGCCACCTGGGACTTCCATCCCTCTCCTTAGAACCTTCCCTGTTTTGCTGAGATTGGCAACTGAAATTTACAGCTCATCTGCCCCAACTCCCACTGCTTTCCTTAGAGAACTGGCTGCAAATAAGCACAGGAGTTCTCTTAATTGCAAAGAAGCAAAAAGAGAGCTTGTAAAAATCTCATTAAAATAACTATGCTCTTTGACTGTAGACTAAGTCCATGATGTCAACAGTGAGGTCCCCATGCCAAAAGGGACAACCTTCCTAGAAATTTTCCTGAGAGACATAAAGGCTAGATACAAGCAGAATTTAGGGGACAGGCTACTAAAAGAGCAAGATTTAAACTCGCTGAAGTGCAAACAAGCAGCTAGGTCTTCGAGTAAAGACAAACAGGATGGGTAGCAATATTGCAGCTTCACAATATCCAGCTGGTATGCTGGGAAGGTGATGCGAGAAACTGTCAGTTTAAGAAGGACAAGTGGGAATGGGAGAGCCATACAGCTCTGGGGCTCCTAGAACATGCTGCGGTCCATGCTGCTCTGGGAGATCCTGGACTGGCTTGTGCTTCTTTACAAAAGTGGAAAAACCTCACATGCAAGACCCTAGAAAGGAGGGATTTTCTTGGCTGCTCAAAGAGACATAAAGAAAGGCTCAGGGATGTCAAAGGAAAAGTAACCCACCAATACCAAAAGCATTCCTCTTCCCAAAGACCCTCCTGAACCCTCAGGATGACAGCAGGATGGGATAGGGGAAGCAGACACCATCCAGACTTCCTCTATCAGGCCTTCAGTTCCCCAACATGTCTTAGCTTCATGGAAGCCCCCTAAACCAATACCTCCCGTGACCTTGGTGAGTGTTGAGACTACCTCCCATGATCTTGGTGAGTGTTGAGACACACAGAACACAGGGGACAGAAAGCGCAAAGGCCTAGGGTGCAGATTTAGGGTCACTGTGCAATAGGTAAGACGCTAAGGCTCCACACAGCAACCTAAACAGCAGCGCTGCAGTGCGTGAGCCTGTCCAGCATCAAAAGTGTGGGAGATCCAGGGTGCCGAGGCTCTTCAGATCCCAAAGACAGGCAGGTGCCCGGAACTATATTCAGGGGAGAAACACTACCTGGAGGTGTCATGGAAAAGCCCAAACAGCAACTAAGGTCCACGATGAGAAATGGCTTTCCTCATGGACAGATGAAGGAAAGACGACAAAATTCATTGGATTTGGAAAAACTTCCTCAGAATGGCTATCTAGTTTGACCCCTGGAATTGGAGCCTAGCAGGAAGCAAGGTCCCATCTCAAGCCCTCTAGAAGGAAGGAAGACATGTGTTAAGGGTGTGTTTGCTCTTTCCTGACATATCATCTCTACCCTAGCACATACTAAGAAACCTTGCTGAGGACTTTTTAAAGCAACAAGCCTGTAGAGCCTGACTCTGAAGAGCAGATTGCTTGAGGCTGCAACAGGGGCTTGAAGGCCCTGCTGAAGGCAGGTCCCAGTAGAGAAGGTATCTTGGGGCTTTGCACTCACCTTTGGATTATCACCGAGGATGGAGACCTGAGAATCTCTCTGGATCCCTGTGCCAGAGTTCGCTCACGCTCTCGGAGAAAAAGATTTGTTCTAAACATCCAAGAACTCCCCATTCACTGTTTTGTTTTTGTTTTGTGGGTTTTTTTGTTTGTTTTCTTTTTTTCTGTCACTGTTCCCCTTCATGCCATTAGTGTGACCCTATGAAATCCAGCAACTCTGTATCCTCCACAAGGGAGCTGTGCACAGCATGAAGATCCCCCTTGGCATTCTTTGGTCTAGGCTGAACAGATCTAGCTCTCCCAGTGCAGATCTCTTATCTGCACCACACTCCACTCCCTGACACTTTCCTGGGTTTGAATGCCTTTGAAGAACTGGGGTGACCACATGGCATCCGCTGTACAGACATGGTCTTCAGAGGGCCAAAAAGAGGGGCAGAGTATGTCATTGGCCATCCTGACTTTGCTCTCCCAAATACAAACACATGAGGATGGCCGAACTATGGCATAGGGACCCAGAGGTTCTCTCATCTCCTCCTATCCTCAAATATAATCAAAATCTCACTGGAAAAGGACCAAAGACAGCACCTCAACTGGGACCTGTCTTCACCAAGGTGTTGGATCTGTATGTCCAGATGGCTTCCCAAAAGCAGGCTCAAGCAAGCTACACTTCTGAGGTGCTTTCAAGAGAGACCTATTAATTTGGAACTGTGGCCTCCACCACTGACCAAGGAGAGGGATCTCAGAGCCACCCATTGCCCTAAGAAGCCTCACTTCTTGCACAGGGCCTTTCCCTGTCTGCAAGTGTCTGTGTTTGCACAAAGCGGAGAAATGGCTCTGAATGCTTTGATTACCTACCCAAGTGCATGAGGGATCACAATGAATTAGGGTCTGGAAAGGGAAGATGCAATGAGGGCCCACCGTCAGCAGAAAGCCTTAAAAGGAGTGAGAAGTCACTAAGATTAAGATAAGAATAAGATAAGAA